CATGAAAAGCTATCATGATATGATCAAGAGTCCATTTTGGATAAAGTAAGTGGCTTTGGCCAAGAAATGCACTGCCTGAACAGGACAATCATTCCAATTTTCTCCACTTGTGAGACTTTGCAAGGGCTGTTCATGAAATTCTTAGAAGGGCTCAGAAAAGAGAAGTGTTTGTTTTTAATAGGACTACATCTTGAATGTTTCAAGACTTTGTATTTTTCCCTTGGAGGTTCAATTCTCAGAGCTGTAGGAGGCTGTCGTCCGCATAATTGGCTTCCAAAGTTCCTCTAGACCCTCTATATATTTCCTATGGCTGATCTTGCTGTGAGTAATCTCCTTCAAATATCCTGTTCCCATGAATTATCTTGATTAACAAGCAAGGTTAACACAAAAACTCTTTAACTGGCTGACATGATTTTCCTTCCACAAAATCCGTCAATCCCCTTCTTTTGTTCCAGCCATCGCTTTCATGTTACAGGCAAATTCTTTTCCTACTATGCCAAATGTATTGACAAATCCATTCTCCAGGCAATAGGGTAATCAAGGTTATGCCATCTTTGTACCTGATATTACTGATTGATCTGCTTCTTCCCTTAAAAACCTTACAGGGCTTTTCTCATCATGATCATCAGTGTCAGAATATTGACTAGATTTATCGTACCTGGATGCAAGTTTTACTCCTCCAATTTTTAAGCCAATTTCTGAATTACAGCCTGCATACAAATTCATCCAAGTTGAACAAAAAGCCCTTCTCAAGCACAGGGAGCCACAGCTTACAGCATTATTCATTCAAATACTTACAGAAAGTCAATAAAGCAGTGATCGCCCACCTTCTTATGCTTCTGTGGGGCTACGCCTCTTTCAGGTTTGAATCTATGAATATTTTATTTCAAAAAGATCTGCAGAAGAAAACTAAGCTTTCCCTGAAGCTCTGTTGACTCTGCAACTACCGAAGGGTAGACAGTGGATGAAACAAGGAGAGCTTAACCAACATCTTAACCAGGTTAAGTTTACAGTTGTCTACACAAGTCTCTGCCTATCCATCAACGTAGTCGTGGGGCAGATGACAGAAAAAAAGACAAGTATCATTAGGTGGTACCAAGAAATACTCAGTAAATCATCATCACCTTCCAGGCTTAGTTACGGAGACTGAAAGTATCTCACTAACAATCAATTGCAACTGCAGTTTTTCATATAATTATTAAAATCGCTAGGCAGGTTGTTTATAATACAATCCTGAATTTCGAAGGATGATTGCCAAATAAAACATATTAAAAAACAATAACTTTACAAGCAAAGGGGGCCTTAAAACCCCTGATTGCCCGGAAACCAGCTTCCTCTAACTGAAAAACACCAATACCCTGCTTCTCACATTTTATAAAAACCTGTTCCATTATTCCAGGCAAAAACCCCTAAAAATGTACAGAAGTTCTTTTAACATGATCTGTTTGTCAGATGCTCCAGAGGACAAATATCAAATTGAAATTACCATGTCAACATAACAAAGGGCTAACTGGGGAGTGTTACAAAGCACGCACAAGGACTGAGTTTCAAACTGAATACACTTGCTAACTATTACCTGTTTTACAAAACGCCTCTGTCTACCCAGTTCCTCCAGAATGACAATTATTCAAACCTGGCTCTTGACCTTTTCAAAGTACTAGGAGGTCTCCAGATTAAAGCCTAAATTCTCACCCTTGGTAGTTACCACCTTCCTTACATTAAGGATTCTATTTTGGTCCTCATCCATTTTCCCCCAGGACATCTCAAAGCCTCCTGCATCACTTTTGTGCAGATGACACCTGTCTCTAACCTCGCTCTCCTCTGCTTATGTGTTGACACATTTATACCATATTCAACAAATCAAACAGCTGGGCTTTATCCAACACTGGTACCTGAGCAGCACTAAGCCTACCAAAACCTAACTGGCTGGAATGGTGTCTCCATTTCCTTCAGCAATCTCAGACCACCTCAGGCATGGTTTTCATTTCATTCCCTACACTTGCCCACCACTCTCCTGTTATGGAGGTAAAAAAAGCACAGATAAATCAGTATCCCAAACAATGTACTCTTCCGTAAAGTTTATTTCACTAATATCACACAGTTATAGGTTCATATGCTCATTAGACAGAGAACATGGCATCAAGTTCTTCATCAGACAAAGATTAATTCTTTGCATGGACAAATGTCCTTCATATCCTCTTTTAAACTCATATAAAGTTTTTCCTACTATAGTAAATAATATTGCCAAAGGTGGGCATTATTTCTCTAAAAATCAAAGTACAGGAGCAGCACCAAACTCCAGCAAGAGGAAAAAAAAAACCCCACAACAAAAAACCCCCACAAAACCAACCCTAAGCACACAAACACCAATCAATTCAGGTAATTACCTCTACCATGTTATCAACTTTGAATAGAAATTTTTCAAAAACACAAACTTCAAAGATGATTTACACCTAATGGTATACTGTGCGTAATTTCCACTGTTAAAGCTTAAGCAAAAATCAACAACCAGAATCAAACAACCTATTTTTGTTTCCTGTCAAAAAGAATAGCTCTGTATTACCTGAGGCAATGAGAATGAAGGCAATGTTGTGTTTCCTTACAGACGTGTATTTAAACCTCCTTTCAGAATGACTCTCATAACCAGGAACTTGGGTTGGGGACAAGGAATAATGCAGAACATTAAATATTACTTTAAATGCAATTAAAATGGTGCTAATTACAATTATAAAAGAATACTACTAAATTATCCAAAGCACCGTTTCATATAATCTGTAAATGATTGGTGACCGTGCAGCTCCCTCAACTAAAAGTGTTATATACTACTAAATTATCCAAAGCACCGTTTCATATGAAAATAATCTGTAAATGATTGGTGACCATGCAGCTCCCTCAACTAAAAGTGTTACATGAGGTATTCAGAGCAGGGAAAGTAACTTAAATTTATCCCACTGTTATACTGGGCACTAAAAAAAAAAGTAAATTTAGAAAAAAAAAATCAAGAAAGCATTGTATTTTAAATTATAAACTGAGGTTGGACAACACATGTGTTTAATTTGAACGAAACGGAAAGCAAAGGGTGCTCTTCCTTCCCCTGTTGTTGTGCCCATGCAGCAATTCTGCTTCCTCACCCGTGCGCGTGGCCCCAGCATCCCGGGGAGGAAGCAAGGAGCAGGAGTTTACAAGTGGCCCCAGAGTCAAAAGCATTGGGGGAAACTAAAAGGTTCAGAGATTTTCAGCATCCTTTTGCACTCGTTAACTAATTAGCAATAATTTTAGTTTATCTAATTGTACGTGTGTACATTTCTCCTTCAAACCTTTAGCATATCAAAGCTCCTCTGGCATTTGAATTTTTCATTTCTTCCCCCCACTGCAATCAAGACACAGGCAGGGAACAAGCTGGCTATCCAGAGGAGTGCATTCTCTTCCTTTCACGTGATCTCGGTACCTAAGGGGACACTGCACCACAGGAACCATGCCGTGCACACCCTAACCTGCCAGCAGTTCCATCTAGCAGAACTCTGTGACCCTTTCACCATCTAGCAGCTGGTTTTCCTCATTACCCATAATAAAATTAGCTGTAACCTTGTGAACTAGCAACAACGGATCAGTTCTGCCTTTAAAAAGGAAAAAAAAAAAAGCAACCACCTTAATGATGCACTGAAGTGACTTAGTCATGAAGTTTAGCAAAACAATTTTATCTAGGTTTTATGCAAATATCAACTTGCCGAGTCCTTGCTTTTGGCACTGTTGAACTTCACTCACTCAAGGAGCATCAAGAGTTTAACACCCAGCCTATAGATAACCAAGAACAGAGTTGAAGAATTCAGTCCTATATGTTCTTAGTGCTTACCATAAAATTCAAGTATACGGAAATGTATTTGAGCTGGAGTTGACATTTTTGAAGTCTATCAACTCGTGGTCAACTCACACTGAGGAAAGCGCTACCAATTAATCACAGTTTCATAAACACCTCGGTATAGGCGCGTATGTGAAGAAAGGAAAGACATTTACATTAAGTCAGTACCCCCTCTTTATTACCCTCATCACGCCGCGCTGTGGCCAAAGGGAAGCAGTCCTGCCCCAGCCCAGCAGCGACAGCACGCTGCAGGAGTGGGAGAGCACCACGCTGGCGAGCACCAAGGCAGCAGTTGTGGTGGGAGCGAGCCAGTGCCCCGCTGCCCGCGGGAGATGGAGGCCGTCACAGAACCACCGTGCAGGAGGAAAGCCTTCACCTCATCTGGTAAGAGGCAGCAGCGCTTTTGTTAATCTCATCAAAAACTATCCAAACAGGGTACCAAGGCAAGTCTAAATTTTTTTTTGTTTATTTTTAAAACCACTCCTGCCTAGCCTAGAAGTGCAGCTTGAATACAAATAAGTAACATGCAGCTTCAAGACATAGCGAAGTAAGATTTCTGAGTGATGCACAAGGTCAGGCAGAGTATTACAGTGCAGCAAGGTCCAGCTCAAGTCAAACAGCATGCTTCAGTGAAAGCACGTCACAGTGTTCACTGTGCTTCAATGAGGAGATGCAGCCAGACTCCTGTCACATGCTCTCTGTAACCAACGCTGCTGGCCTCTATTCTGCTTTGCACCAAAATCATATCCGCCATTAATACAGCCTCCAACTAAACAGTAGAAGCTGTGTGATCTGCAGTCCTATTTTTCGAGACAGGGAACTCTAGACAAAACAGTTACACAACAGGACCCTCAAGTTAACAAGCCAACTACAAGTTCTTTTCTAACCTTAAAAGTCCAGCCAAATGAGATTCCAAAATGATCAAGTGCAGTATTTCATGCAGACATTTCGACATGTAGGACAAGTGAGAGGGAATTTAAATGAAACTAGCAGAACATTTCTTTCACTACCCAACTTTAGAAAAACAAAATAATGAATAAATTTTGAAATTGTGAAAAATTTACAGTAACATCAACATATAAGAAAGCATTTATTAAAAAAATATCAACCTTGCCTTACCTTAAATAACAGCTTTACATACCTGCAAGGTGGTAAAAACATGGAATCCTTCATGAGCACAGATCCAGAGAGCAGTATGTACCAGCATCTTGCAATAGTTTCTGAGCTGTAAGAAAAGAAAACATTGATATCTGCTTTCTTCTTCCAGTAACTCAAAAACAATGTTACTGTAGTAAACTAATGATCTACCACCCTACCAATTTGATATGTGGACAGGAAACCTAAGAACACTACCAAGCATTAATTTTTTTAAACATGTTTACATTCAGAATATATCTTACACTTTACAATTTGACTTTTGATCCAACTTTAAAGTTTCTTTTATTAAGATTAAATTATTAACTTTCAGTAAAAAACATTTCATTCCAGTGAGAGTGTACATAAAACTACAAATACAGGGAAGTTTTTATTCCATGCTAAAGTTGATTAGCATTTCAGCATGGACAGTAACAGTAAATGGAGCTATCAAGCCTTACGGATAAAACAGGAGACTCCTACATGCGAGTCCTGCTTTGCATTCCTCCACCTCTGCACTTGCATCGCATGCACATACGGTATCGTCTCCCGCTGTGCCACCCAACCCCAGAGGGACAGACGAGGGGTCTGCCAACTGTTCCAACCTACAGCCCCATAGGTCTGCGCAGAAGTTGCCATGTTTTACTACAGTAGATTTTGCCTCTTCCTAGAGCGCTGCACTGACGTTTCCCAGCTACAGCCTAACATCCCCTTCCTCTTCCAGCACGCAACCCCACGTATCAGCCTGGTCCTGGAACAGGTCCCTGTCACACACACCCACCGCACGAACTCATAGGTGGCATCTCGTCGATGTGTGTGTGCTGGAAGGTGTGCCTTACACAGAAAGTCAGTTTTAGCTGTGAGAGGATAAACACACCATAACCAGTGCTAAAATATGAGGGGGGGGAAGTGTATTTGCCTCCCAGCAGGAACCTCTAAGCCAGAATACTAATTCTAGCAGTTCAAAAGAAGAGATAGGGACGGAGCTCCATCCCCGACTCCTACAGAGGCACTGGGCTCCTGACGGCGCGGCCAGAGCCAGCTCTGGGGGAAGAGTGCCACCTACTGAGCCGTCACCACCGCTCCCACACCCAGAGAGGTGACACTACCTGCTTTGGGACTGATCCTGCCGCTCGGCAGACACACCTCCCATGTCCACGGGAGCCCTGCTGATGACTCATGGGCACCTCTCCAATGTCAACACCGTACTGCTGTTAACAACCCCTCCTGCCAAAGCTTTTAACTAGCCTGGCCAAGCTTAAATGTTGTATAAAGCCTCCTACTTACCACTACTGAAAAAGCAAGCTGTTAACAACCCCTCCTGCCAAAGCTTTTAACTTACCACTACTGAAAAAGCAACCGATACATTACAACATGTGAAACAGTGGTTTTGTTTACGCTTCTGCTGAAGAACTCCAACAAGCAGTACGTACTTACCAAAAGAGAACTTGGTTGCCCTTGTACCTCTCATAGCGGGCACTTGATGACATTATTCTGAGGGAGGAGGAGAAGTTTAATTTCAGTTTTAATCCCCAAAGATCATAAGCCATTAATCACCACATTTCAGTAGAATCGCTTTAAGGCTCTAAGATCTCAAATTCAACTATTTTTGTTCTAAACAAAGGATGTGCTTAACCATAAAATTCAAATTATTACGGTGTTCTTCATTATCCAAATAGATAACATACAGCATGTTCTCTAAGCGTTTAAATCACTCCCACACATTGGAATTACCCATAGCAACAGAACTGAAGGAACTAAAATACTTCCAACGCACTTTTTGTGCTTTGTTGGCCTTCCGTTTTATGTATTCTGAGATCATCTGAATGTCTGAAGCATTCAAAAGCTTTTGTAATCTAGACTTAACACAGGGCACTGTCTACACAGTCCTTTGTAGACAAATGGGAGTAAGCTCTGTACTCGTTCTTAGCAAAGCTAATTAGTTTAGATGCCATGCCACATTACTGCAATGACTTGACTTAGCAATGGACTTGGCCGATGCTCTGCCACCTCAAAGTGCGGGCAGACAAAAGCTTTGCTCATCTCCACAAAAATCTAGCCGTAGATACCAGCTGCACTAAGCAACACTAACAAGCTCCATAGTACTTTACCTTAGCTGATGTTCCCTGAAATGTGAGAGTATGTCCAGTCCATGAAGGAAAGAATAGATAGTATTTAAGTCCTAAAAAGAAAAAAAAAAGGGGGGGGGGGAAAGACATGAGAACATCATTCACAGCATCTACTCACTTCAGCATGACATTCCCAGATTCTGCAGTAAGTTACACAGACTAACAAGACATAATTCACTTCAGCTGTGGAAGTGAAAACAGTGAAGTCCCACCCATACATAAACTGTTACCTGAAAAAGATTCATTAAAAATATCTCTGAAAATATAGAGATGGATATAGCAGCAACATGTGGAATAAGCCAAATAGGATAGTCCTATTCATTCAAGGTCAAAAAATGTTGAAACCCTTATAACAAGCCTTTAAAGATGGAATTTTGCAAAATTAGCTTGCTAATAGCAAAGAACCCTAGCGAAAACCTAAACTGTGTAGCCTAGCCACTATGGATGGTGCAGAGAACCACAGTACCTTTTCATAGCAAGTGTTATGTTTACAGGGAAAAGGCTATTTCACGTCCACCTTGGATCCAACCGGTAGCCCTACTACAAACTCTATTCCACGCTACTGCCTCTCTAACTCAGTCCAGTCCTTGACCAGAGCGTAACTCAAGATGTTACTGCAAATATTCTTTGGCAAAGATGAAGATAATGGAGTTTGAGATTCGCCTCCCACCTCCTGCTGCCAAGCCTCAGCGCCATCCATTTGCAACCACAGAAGCAAACAACTTTTTTGAGGCAACAATGTTAAAACACGCGGATTATTTTACTTTAAAAACCGGACTTTACGTGGAAGCTGTAATTAGGAGATACAGCTGTTCAAACTTCTCACTACACAGAATCCTCTTCAGTCACAAAAATATCTGTGCTGATGGTGCAGACCACATGCTAGGGAAAAGCTCACTAGGGCTATTCATCATTTAATTTACTGTCCTGAACAGGTGGGCTGGTAGCATTAAATACATGCACAACAAAATCATTATATACCACACAGCAGTCTCTCCAGCTTGGCCTTGGAAAATACGCTCTGAATTTTCAAGTGCTGCATTTATACAGTGTTTACAAAAGATAAATCAATATGAATGCTAGCCTCAGAATTTACAATGGATTTACTTTAGAAAAGTTCTTTGGCTTAACAGTCAATGTTTAGAAATATAACGGATATAGACTGTTGTATCAACTGAAAGGTCATACGTAATTGCAGGCCATGTAAAACCAATAAAACACTGATTATTTTTTTTTAAATGCCATTACCAAAACCCATAAAAAATAAAGAGAAAGCCTGAATGCTTAGCATATATTTATAAAGCACCCGTTTCACCCAGCCCAATCTCCTTTTACTCCTCCGCCTGTGAATCGCCACAAACTTGATCTCCTTCGTGAAGGGCCCAAGAGCCCTAGCCAGGAATCAGACTCCAGACACACCACCTGGATAGTAGCAGGCCTGAACACCAAAGCCCGCAGGGGACGGCAGCCTGGCAGCCACGGGGTCACCCCAGGTATCCGACCAGCTCAGCCACCGAGCTCTCCCCCTTCCTGAGCGGGGAACTGCGACATCACCACCCGAAAACATCAGGCACAGGAGTGCGGCGACAATATCTGCCAACCATGCAGTGTCTTCATTTTTAATAGTAGTGTGGTAGTTAAAAGAATTGATGGAAGAACTGAAATAAAAGCCCTGTGCTCCACGTCCTTGCTCCTCCACCGGGAAGTCCGCCTCTCCCAGCCCAGACGAGCGCTCAGGCGGGCAGAGGAAGGGTGAGCAGCCAGCGGGGAGCTGCTACTCGGTGTTACAACTAAAGCTAAATCTCCAGTCTTCGTAAATCATTGCGCCTACAAATCCTTCCCTACATTTTCCAGTATTTTTCTACATAGCTGAAACTTACCTATGATATAACAGAACATCTTTCAAATCTGTTCTAGATTAGCAGCCCTACTGTCATGAGTTACAGAAGACTGTAAGCAGAACAAAAGCTTATGTTCATGTTTAATCGCAAAGTTTCAGTTGTATGTACGACAGATGACCACATCCTTACTTGAGAATTATTCTCCACAACTCCACAGAGCACAGCCCCCCAGCCGGTTAATGCAGGCTGCCTCCTGCTCCCCATCTGCAGCCAGACTGATCAAAGAGGACTACTGTACCGACCCACCGTGCTTATTTGGGAGCTTGATGAATAAACAGTTGTAAAATTAAAAGAGATAAACATTTGCTTAAAGGGATTCACGCCTGGAAAGCATCCCTCCACCCAGACTTCGGCTGGCGAGAAGCGCAGCAGCGGAGAGGGCAGCTGGGTGTCCTGGTTTAACCCAGCTGGCAGCTCAGCACCACGCAGCCGCTCGCTCACACCCCCTCCTCAGCGGGATGGGGGAGAGAATCGGGAAGAAAATAAAAGGTTAGAGCCGAGGGCTGAGATAGAGACAGTTTAATAAGAGAAAATAATAATAATAGTAATAGTGAGACTGATAACAGGATATACAGAATATACAAAACGGATGATGCACAATGCAATTGCTCACCACCCGCCGACCGATGCCCAGCCCGTCCTGAGCCACAAGCAGTCCCCGAGCCACGAGCAGTCTCCTCACAACCGACCGACCGAACTAACTAACCCCCCCCAGCATGACGTTCTATGGTCTGGAACAGCTCTTTGGTCAGTTTGGGTTAGCTGTCCTAGCTGTGCTGTACTCCCAGCTTGTTATGCCCCTGGCCGAGCGGGAGAAGCTCAAAAAGTCCTTGAGTGGTCTGAGCACTACTGGGCAACAGCTGAAAACATCAGGGTGTTACCAACATTCCTGTAGTACTAAATCCAAAACACAACACTATGCTAGCTACTGTGAAGAAAATTAACTCTATCCCAGCCGAAACCAGGACACTGGGCCAGAGCACGGCACAGAAAAGGGAAGGCAAAGTTCCTATACCTCATCGCAGCAGGAGGCATTTCACCTAAGCTGGCCAGTATTACTGCTGTAATGTTGATAAATGAAATAAGAAACATATCATTCATCACCCCACCCAGCCAGGTGACATTTCAACAAGCTACACACATTAGCTACTCATGCATCAGCTTCTATAGGCATTTTTAGATCAGGATCTGTAACGCTCACTCTAAAAACAACCGACTTCTAAAGCAATCACCTCTCCTAATTAAGCAGAGCAGGTGATTTTGGCGGGCGCCACTGAGCACAAAAGGTAACTCGGAGATCACATCTCCCAGGAAGGTCTGCAGGCTGCTTCTCCCTCCAGTGCACCGAACGTACCGATCCTACGTGGCTTACGTGTCTTGTTGAAATAATGCTTTTTTTGTTTGCTTAAATAGATTCTTTACAGCCAGTCAGATGAAATTCCTCCCCTCCCTCACGTGCCACTTCAAAGTCTAAGGCAGGTTACCGTGCAGCTAATCTAGCTCAGTTTTTCCTGGCAACATGAAAATTTCATTATCAGTCATACTTTGCAAAGTTTTCTCCGCTACTCCCTTCTCGTTCAAGAATAAGTGCTTATAATAGCACTGAAATTATGTTTGAGAGACTACACTTAGAGGCTTGTTTCACATTTTTGCAAGCGAGGAAGATCGTTTCAATCCCACGCAGCCGGAGGCGGCGAGCGGCCGATGGCGAGCGGGTGCTGTGGCCACCTCGTGGACAGACACCGCCAGCCCGCCCAAAAAACCCTCCATCAGCGACGGAAGCGTTCGGTCTCCAAGTCAGGGTTTATAAAACTGGAAGCTGTTGTTTTTAAAAAAGGGATTTACGCCGCCACACCAGTTACAAACAGCAAACACACGCACAGCCACAGTACAAAGGGTAGAGATAATTTTCACAGATACCCACTAGGAAAATAAAGGGCTATAAAAGGGCGATGCCAAAGGGCAACGAATCAGCGCTACAACAGTGGAACGCAAAGTATTTGCTGAAAAGTTACAGACCCTTTCCATACCCGTCCCTATAATTTCTTTTCATACTTCTTTCTGCCAAAATCCCACCAAGACACAGTTATTGATGAAAAACAATTTATCTGCATGCTTAAAACTAGGGATCAAGGTCAAAATTATTTTCTTTTGTAATCTTCAGAGCTTTTCCTCAGCTGATATTCTATTCTATTCTATTCTATGATAAGAGCTGAAACTAAAGCACAGTATCTACCTTCAGATGGTATGCCCACACGTATTCTTCAATCTTTGACAGAAAACTACCTTGCCTAGGTTATTTAAGGAGAAAAATCACATTTTTGATCCAACTAGCTAAAAACGCAGCTCTGCTGAGCCAAGGGAGGGAGGGGAACTGGGCAAAGAGCGGAGGGAAGCAGGCAGAAGTTGTTCATCTTGCTAGGAAAGAGGTCTTCAAAACTATGGGGTGCCCAAACATGAACTCTGGCTACAGCGGTCCCGCACAAAGCTGCCCAGGATCGCTGATTTTCTTTGCCTCCGGTTCCCACAGCACGGAGTTGATGAGCAGAGGTGTTCTCAGCTGCCTTCTCTGTTTAAAAAGCAGAAGAAAACTGTTTCTTCGTATTCTTCACGTCAAAGAATACACCGTATAAACCAGAAGTGCAGAAATCAAGGGATCGCGCTGCGGACAGCACCGTTATCACCACGCCCGGCCGCAGGGAAAGCGCGGCCCCGCGCCGATACGCCAGCACCCCCAGCTCCATTCAGCAGCAGCCGTTATCATCCCCGACGCACACATCCTTCCGACAGAAAGCTTAACCCGCTGCTAAACCAAAGGCGGTGTAAAAACACGGAGATTTTAGTAACAATATAATGTTATATAAATTAGCTTTCTTTTACCATCACATCCTCATCCCAATACACTATGAAGCGAGCCACTTGAACACCTGGACCACTGCTCGTTTGCCCTGCTAGATGCCAGATCACGTAATTACCACAAGATGCCACAATTGTAAAATAAGGGAAAATAAAAGCAGCACCAGTACCGTCAACTGAAAACTCATCACATGAAAGCAAACCAGATAACTACTACCATCACTCATTTACCTCAAAACACTTTTATTCGAAAGTAATTTACTACTTCTGATTTTTACAAGGAATATTAATTTCTT